GGTCCCTTCCGACCCTAGAAACTATGAAACTATGTGGACCTCCTGCATAGTGTATTGGGTCCTCTCCATGGTGTTCCTCTTAGTAGTCGGTGACTAGGAGCCTCTGTCAAAGACTGTTTATTCATGAAAATGCTCTATGCTTTTATTTTTTTTTACTCTTTGGTTCTCCACCAGCCTCCTCAGCAGTGTACGTCCAGGGCCATGTTACTCAGCCTGCTTCTGAAACCCCTTCTCCACAAAAAGGAAAGGTGATGGGATTAGCATTAACTCACTTTAAAGTCTGCTTTAGCGTATGAGGGGGGAAAGAGAAAAAGTGAATACTATAGAGTACAGCTGTTCTCTCAGGACCCTCCCTGTTCCTCTGTTCATGTCTTTGTTTCTAAAGGTAACTTTATTTCCTTCAACCCAGAACATTGCCTCAGTAGTATTCTCTCATTCTGTTACCTGATTAAATCATTTTCACCCCTTCAGTGGTTTAATATTAGAGGAGGATAATTCTGCAATATGTATACACAGATGATCAACTGAGGTGAGGAATGAAGCATGAATGTTAAGTAGCCAAAAGTAAAAGTGTAAGGGCAAAACTATATTAAACAAACTCTATTATTGAACTCTATTTACCACTTTTTGATTTGAAATCTTGTTAATTTAAAAATCTTGGTCCTGTGGGAGTAGAAAATATAAATAAAAGATCTTGGGTCCCAATTGGTTATTTTAATTATTGTTATATTTCCTCCTATTCTTCTTTGCAAATTTGTCTTTGGGTAATGTCTATACTTTAGCATAGAAATATCTGAACTACCTTTAAATGAGTTAGATTGGGTCCATGAAGCAATGGAGCAGAGAGCTTCATGGAGGCTAACTGACCCTTCCTATCAGCAGTCCATAACACAGACGAGTGATTCTCAACCAGTGTGCTGTGGATCCTGGGGAGCCTTGGGATCCTTTCAAGGGTTCTGTGGGGTGCCACACAATTTTAACAAAGATAAACCTAGAGATTTTAAATAGGAATCCATGGTGTTAAAACATTCTAGTCTACTGTGTGTCTTTCTGAATTCTTGGTAAAACTAATGAAAACTGAGATCTGGCTTTTTTTGAGTACCCTGAGTCTAACAAAGTTGAGAAATACTGTCATAGACATATTTTGTCTATTGATCCCTTTTTCTGTTAATGAACAATAGTGACCAGGAAAAATAACTTGAGTTATGTTTATTGCATTCTGGAACTACATGGTCTGGCCACTAAGGTAAGTGTATCCATACATAGTATGTTGTAAAAGCCATGTTAACCTGTGTTTTGGTTGATAGTAAGCCCATGCATATTGCTTGTACTTTTATAATGAGTCTTCACCAGCTTCTCTACTTGTAGAGGGCTTTACTAAGGAAGAAGCACCACACATTTCATGACTCCTGGTAACCTAAGCCAGATCCTGTGAAGAATCTACATGACAGATTTTTCAGGGAACCTGAATTGGGAGATCTTGTTCTCCATATGACTCCTGGTGGACTCTAGTCGCTCAAAGTAGAACATTCTGCCACATTTGGGCTAAAGTACAAGAAATCCCATTAGATTTATAGATTTTTGTGTGGGAAGGGACCTCAGCAGATTATTGAGTCCAACCCTCTGCCCTGGGCAGGAAAGAGTGCTGGGGTCAGACAACCCCAGCCAGGTGCATGTCTAGCTTCCTCTTAAAGACCTCCAAGGTAGGGGAGAGCACCACCTACCTTGGAAACCCATTCCAGATTCTGGCAACCCTTACTGTAAAGAAGTTCTTTCTGATATCTAACCTACATCTGTTCTCTGTCAGTGTGGCCATTGTTCCTAGTTACTCCAAGTGGTGCCCTGGTAAACAGAGCATCTCCAATTCCTTGCTGCCCTGGCCAATGAATTTGTAGGCAGCCACAAGATCACCTCTCAGCCTACTCTTGCAGAGGCTGAAGAGATCCAGGACCCTCAATCTCTCCTCGTAGGGCTTTGCCTGCAGGCCCCTAACCATACGAATGGCTGTCCTCTGAACCCTTGTGAGGTTGTCTATGTCCCTCTTGAAGTGTGGTGTCCAAAACTGGATGCAGCACTCCAACTGAGGCCTGACTAATGTCACATAGAGGGGAAGTATTACCTCCCTGGACCTGTTTGTCATGCACCTGCTAATACATGATAAAGTGCGGTTAGCTTTATTGACCGTGTCATCACATTGATGACTCATGTCCATCTTGGTGTCAACAATGAGATCCCTTTCTGCTGCTGTGTGAAGAGGACTTTGTTCTTATTTTCAGTTGAAATAAAAGTTTTGTGTAACATGCTTTTCCTTAAATTATTATGTTATCATTAGTCTACTACGTTGAAGTTGGTGTGTATACACATAAGGTTTAAGGAGCTTTGAATGGGATGGGGTGGTTTAGGGAGGAGTGGTCAGAGTGAGCAGGCAGTCAGATGACCTCCTGAGGTCTCTCCCAGACCTACTTTTCTATGATTCTATGAATACATAAATAGTAGTGTCATTTCATAAGATAAAAAGTCTACTTTTAAAAACCGGCACACTTAAAGTTGTACAAGTATTTGCATATTTTGTGATTTCATGAACTAGTTATGGTGTAAAATAGTTGTCATAGGATGGGGATAAGAGATTTTGTTCAGACATTTAAAAATCATATACTGATGATCATGGATTAATGTCTTACTGCTAAATAAACTATACTTAATATATCATTAACAAGTAGTAATGCAAACCATTATTACTGAACAAATTATAATGCTGGTTTTACAACCTGCAATTTTTTGAGATTCTTGAAGGCATCAGGATGAATTTTGGTTATCTTGTTATTTTGTAAGTAGATATTCTTTAGCTGCGAACAGTTGTGAAAATCATTCTGTTCAATCTGTAATATTTCATTAGATGACAGATGGACACTTTGTAAAGACTGCAGCATTCCTAGTCCTGAAAATACAATGGAAGTCATTGTGAATCTAATGTTCTTGCTTGACAAAATACAAACTGCTTTCTCAGTGCTTCACCAGTTCCCTTAAGTGAAAAATGTTGGCACACCTGGTTGATGCAGTCCTTGAACTTGCTTTCTATTCCACATTGTCCTGTTTTTAAAGACCACATAATATCAATACCAGTTAGTTTACTCTTTTAGCAATTACATATGATCTGAAATTCTCCTATTTATGAGTTCAGAAAAACAGGAATACTCCTCCATGCTGTCAAAAAACATCTCCATATGCATACTTCCCATTTGTAGCTATTTGCAACTAATAATTATTTTTCACCTTCCTGATTCAAATGGGGTTCTTGTTGACCATGTCAGCAAATAAAATTAGTAAAATATAGTTATGCATCTCTCCACCTAGTGGTTTTGTATGGAGGTTATTTTATAGGGACCCGCCCCTAAAAAGGACTTTTGGTAATAGAAAGCTCCAAGGGCACCTTCTGGCTAAACCACATCTTTGGCCAAATTCTGTTGTCAAGCACATATGCACAGTAGCTATTGAAGTCTACTATTATCCCATGCATGCTTTGGGAATGTACTGAATTTAAACACTACCTTCAAGCATGACAGTTTTGGTATATACTGAATTCCTACAATTTTCATTTGATTATAAACATCAGACCAGTGTTCCTCTGCAAGACATACTGATTCCTTGCCATATATGACAGCTTATCAACCACATGGTTACATTTATCTAGCAAAACAATCACTAAGATGCTCAGCAATATTTTAACTCAAGCTGTGTCAATAGCTTCTACAGAAGTGCCTCAAATTTCAAGATAAGGCACAAGTTGCCACATTATGGAATTATTTGAGGACAAAAGGGCAAAATAGTAGGGTGAAAGTTCATACTCTACTTCAGGGTGTCAAACTCAATTCAGGCCAGATCCTGACTTCTGGGCTCCTAGGCTCGATTCATAGGGTCAGTGGTAACAAGGGATCTGGGGGCAGTAGTGGGGATCAGGTTGGCACAGGGTAAGTGAGGGCTGTATCTGCAGTCCTGATGCACCCCACTGTTACTGACACCCATATCCATCAGGGTCTTGGGGCCCTGAATTCTGGGGCAGACCCAACCCCCCTCGCCCTTCCTCCAACTTTTGGTAGTCTGCTGGTAGCCCAGTAGGCTAGCTGGGAGGGCTCTGAAGGCTGGATCTTTGACACCCCTGCTCCACTTAAGTCTTATTTGATTTTAGGATTATTCAGGACTCTACCATAACGTTTGAGTTCCATTTACAGACACTAAAGTGTGTGAAACTTTTAGCATGACCAGAACTTTTTTTCCAAAAGGCTTTCAGGGCTCAAGCACCATCATAAATGCCAATATTTTTCTAACTTGTTCACTGCATAATTTCATAGTTTCATAGTTTCTAGGGTCGGAAGGGACCTGAGCAGATCATCTAGTCTGACCCCCTGCCATGGCAGGAAAGAGTACTGGGGTCAAACAACCCCAGTAAGGTGGTCATCCAACCTCCTCTTAAAAACCCCCAGGGTGGGAGCCTGCACCACCTCACTTGGAAGCTGGTTCCAGACCCTAGCCGCCCTGACCGTGAAGTAGCGCCTCCTGATGTCCAACTTAAACCTTCCCTCCGCCAGCTTGTGACCATTGTTCCTGGTCACTCCTTGCGGCGCTCGGGGGAACAGGGACTCCCCCAGCGCCTGCTGATCCCCCCTAACCAGTTTATAACAGGCCACAAGATCCCCCCTCAGCCTTCTCTTTTGAAGGCTGAACAGGTTCAGGTCCCGCAACCTTTCCTCATAGGACCTACCCTGCTGTCCCTTGATCATACGAGTGGCCCTCCTCTGGACCCTCTCGATGCTGTCCACATCCCTCTTAAAGTGCGGCGCCCAGAACTGGACGCAGTACTCCAGCTGCGGCCTGACCAGTGCCACATAGAGGGGGAGGATCACCTCCTTGGACCTGCTCGAGATGCATCTGTGGATGCACGACAAGGTGCAGTTGGCCTTCCTAGCCGCCTCCCCACATTGCCGACTCATGTTCATCTTGGAGTCAATAATGACTCCAAGATGAACATGTGCGCTTTTTAGAGCTTCGATTGTTGAGTCACCATTGCAGTTTCCTCAGTACCATAATCTATGCATCTAAGCCTTAAATCCTTCCCCTTCTTACCATCAGCTGTCAGTTTTGGTTTGAGTTTTAAATTGAATTATATTCAGATACATTTAGAATTGGGTGACATCTGTGATAAAAAAAAAAAAGAACTGGACCATTTGATTTTGAATTTCTGAAACACTGAAATCTGAGCCAGTTTTGTATGTGAGTTTTCACTTCCCTCAAGGATGGAATTTTAAAGTCCCTATCCTTTTTCACTAATTTTCTTTTGGCTAGGGTAGGGATTCGGACACCACAGATCTGTGGATGCAGATATTGGCATGAGTACATCCAAAGGATATGGAGGCTAAATTCATTGATTTTTTTGAGGCATTTGGTTACTACAGTGATGAGAACCATAGAAAAGCCTGTAAAAATAATTTTGTTCTGCTCCCTTTGGGCTTGTATTAAGGTGATTTTTTTCATGCCTAACACCCCTCACATAACTAAATAACGCATTCAACTAATTTAGTCTGTAAATATATATTTAAAATCTCTCAGCTGATACTTACCCCTTGGAATTGCACTAAGATTATTTCTTTCAATTGCCAATACTTTTAAAAAAGGAAGGAGACTGTAAGTATACACTCTTCTGTGTTTTTCAGACCGGTCTTCAGATTTACATATATCCAGAACAATATAGTGGATAACATTACCATTGAGGTTTAGAGTTTCCAAAAATGGTAGATTTCTGAAGGAATCTAAATGGAGTTCAGAAATCAGGTTATTACTTAGATTCAGGTGTTTGATATTCCATTCTTCATCTCTCCAGTTAGACCACAGTACGACACTGATGGTGTTATAACTTAAATCAAGTACTGTTACTGTTGGTGATATATCCGTGGGGACAGTAGACTTCCCCGTAAAAGAACAATTCATCAGGAACTTTCTATCCCACCAGCATTTGGAATTGTAGGGAATACCAAAACCTGTCTCCTGTGACTTGAACCCTGAAGATCCAGTATAATTAAGAAAAAGGACCAGAGCCATGACACTCAGGTAAGAATTTGCCATAATATCTAGAAATAAATACACATAATTATTAATAATTAAGAAGCATGAAGGTAAACAGAAATATCTTAATGTTCCTTTAAGTTAAAAAAACAAACCTCACAATGTCTGTAAACATTCAATTTTCAATTCGTTACTTTTTAAACTGCATATTTCACTTAAAATTCTTAGAAGCATATTTTCAAATTATTCTTACTTTTTCTCACAGATGACTAGTCCATACAGCTACTGCTCAAGAATTTGTAAACTATTACTAGGGACTCTTGATCCAGTTCATCCCATTGTACATAGTTATTGCTATTGGGCAAAGTCTACCAGTCATAATCTATGACACACAGAAGTGGAATGATTCTCATGCTATCAATAAATAAAACACCAGCACTGCTATCAATAAACCAACATGTACTTTAACCTTACATTCACTTGTGTATAAAACTTGTAAAGCAGAGTCTGGATTTTAGAAATTTATTTGTTTCATTTCAAAACTTAAGCATTAGAAACTTCATACTTTGTTTTAACATATTCAAATGGCCACCTTAAAAAATGCAGAAGATTTTTTTTTTCCAAGAAGCTATAGTAGAAGTATATAGCAGTGTATTTTACAGAGGCACACAGCCTGTACTTTGAACACCTCTAGAACCTCAAATGCATCTGTAGTAGTTAAATAAACATGTGAGCACAACAAGTCTTTAAACAAAAGTAGAGAATACAAAAAGTGAATTAGTTAAAGTCAAACCACAAATAAATGCACAACACAGGGTACTTAAGTCATTAGTATTTTTAAACTGTGTAAACTTTAGTGAAGGCAATCAAATATACTAACAGTATACAAATAATTAGCAATAGCACCATAGATATTAATCCTTATCTGAATAAGGATTATTTTTGCTGACTTTCAATTAAATATAAATAATTTTTAAACAAATTCAGCTGTAATTTAACAGTATTGCAGTTGTTAGAAACAAATCTTTCAAATGAACTTTGCATTTAGTGTCTCAATAAGACATTCAATAAGAATGCTAAGTGTAGGTAATATTTTGAGTCTTGTGGGTATCCAAAAGTTACCAATATTCATTGTATAATGGTTATAATGTTCCGTGGTAGATATTCTAATTAATCTAGGTAATAAATTTGACTACAATTTTTTTACCTTTTACCAAAAGTACTGTCACTCTTTATATCATGCTTTTATAAATTGAAGCTGATGTAAAAAAGTATCAGTTTGCCGTTAGAAATAGAATGATAATATTAGAACTTTTGCGTGTTTCAGGGAAATTTAATTTTAGTACGGTATGGATAATGCGTATCTGTTTTTGGAAAATAGTAAGATTTATGAATGAAACACGCAGTGTAAGTGCAAAATATTAAGATTTATTCTGCCATGTCTAACGTGTGTCGATTTACTTTCACTTATTTCATATTGTTTTTATTCAAGAAAACATCAACCAAAAGCAAAACTGAACACCAAAACGTGAACACATCCTAAAATGCAATTATTGTTGTCTTCATCCGTTCCTCGTATAAACCTCTTTACTGTTCACCCCCAGTTGTTGCCTCCCATCTAAACTATGGCTTCTGTCCTGTAACCTGTTCCATATTAATGGACTCCTGCATTTACTTCATCAGGGTCCTTCTAAAGTCAAAAGCACAATTCAGGAGAAGAACCTAAGACTGCAAAAGCTTTGGAGCAGGGAACATAACAGTCTTTTGTGAAATACCTTGCACCCACATGGGCACCATAAAATAATAAATTAGAATGTATTTATCTTCCCATAACAAATGACACATTCAATTGTGAAGTTAATGTGTAACAGTTGTTACAACTCTTAGGAAAAGAATACATTCTTATCTAGTAAAACCTGGGAATAACATTTCCACGAAACTGTACATGGCTTCTTGTTAAGTACTGCCTGTTGTAAAAGGAAACCATTTCAAAATAAAGGTAACAAATGAAAAAGGTTTAAAATAAGCAAATCTAAGTTCCATTGACATAGCAATATGTGAACTTCTCTCCAGAAACTGTTGTAGGGTATAATGGTTTTACTGAGGACCTCAACTGATCATGATATGTAAGAACTTGTCTAACTTTAAAGCGGATAAACAATTCTACTTGCATTAAATTTAGATAATGTGCTTATGTACCATGCTATATTTGGGCCTGACGTACTGTCATATTTAGAACTGTGGATCAGTACACATTTCTAATCTGCTAAATTAGAATGTAAATACCAGGTTACTTAGTAACACATTTGCATTTTTATGAACTGTAAACAACTATACATCTTTTTAAAAGTTTTACAGTTATGGTATTGGTCATTACTGCTTATACTAGTGGTATACCAGTGTTTTGAGCATCACTTGTAGAATACCATAAACTAATAAAATTATTTGTATTAAAATATCTAAGAAAAAGATATTGTCCTAGACAGTGAAAAACTATTGTCAATACACCTCAAAATATCACTTTAAGTAACATAAATACAGTGCTTTGCATAGTTTAAATAAATGTCACAACATCATGATGATGGGAAAAATACTCTTGATCAATCACAAGTTGTATTGATAATATTTCAAACACGAAAAATGAGCAATTCTACTTAAAATAACATTTGTACAATAATACTAATGGATGGAAATATTTCCATGGTAATACTTCTGAATCTAGGAAGTATTTTTTTAAATAGGCATCATAATATGTAGCCGAAGTAAGGGGAAATTTAAACGAAACTCTGCTATAGGTTCTTTCAGTCACTATATATAAATGTTTTGGCAAATATTAAAATTACAAACTAGTCATTTGGGATTTTTCATACAACAGTGACCATATTCCTATCAAGCATACAATCTTTGGCTTTCATTTGATAGCTGCCTAAAGGCTTTTATTGCCGCCCAAAAGTTGAATCCCGATGTTCTTTCTCTAAGCTTCTGTTTGAATGAGGTAAAGGACACGCTTATAATCGGGACAGCTTATTTTACTAGCTGCCTATATGACGCCCAGATTTTTCTTAAAATGTCTTCTGAAAGATCCAACCCATTGAAAAGAATTGTAATTATGAAGACTTCATATTAAGATTCCAACAGTCAATACTTATCAACTGCAAATATAACTTGAATCTATTTTGATAAAGATTTAATTGCCTTCACCTGGCCACAGTTTTAAAAGCCAACCTCTGTTTTAGCATCCAAAGTGTAAGCATGGGTATTGGAACATGCCAAACAGTTTGATGCACTTTGATGTCCAGCATGAGAGCAGTTATTTAGATGATGGATTTTCTTCACCCCAAAGAATTATTCATGTGAAAGTGATTGAAGGTGGATGGAAAAACAGTCTAAAAGGGAACGCTTGCCCTTTGCTTCCCCTTTTGTGTAGTTTCTCTCTAAAAAGTTGGAACATTCAGTTAAATTACTCTTGGGAAGATTCCTAGTTATTTCACTGGGGTTCCCTTCATTCCTGCTAAGCACGACTCTCATGAAGTGGGCTACAGATACTTCCCCATCTCCTCCTCTGACCCCTTTCTTTAAAGGTGATCCAAGCGGGGAGGGAGGCTCTACAGAATAAGAAAAACAACAAACAGTGTGACTTTTCCACATACCAAAGTTGGAACAATGATCATCCTCCAAACCCTGCCCCTTCATTCTATGCTGATTCCAACAACCTGTTAGGAATGTAGGAAGAAAACCTGCATTCCAGAGGCAGTATTAAAGGCACTTTTGCACGAACACTAAGTGCCTTGTTAGGATCAGGTCTTCAATAAAAATATCTTTTGATTGCAATTAATCAAGGTACTTCAACTGAAGGATGTGCTAAGTCAGAGCCATTATTAGAGTAAATGCTTTAAATACTGAAAGTGTGCAATAAGGCATAATACTGCTAAACACAATGCCCTGTGTTAAAAATGCTAGAAAACAAATTTAAACAGCTATAAACTGCAAAACAATAAATCCTTGCATGCAATTGTTTTATACAGACAAATGTAAACAAGTAAATGAACTCTCCAAGCAAACTCTCTCCTCCAAGTGCTTTTATGTTCAGTGCATGGCTCCACAGGGATTGACTGCAGTTTGACAACCCATATTGTGGCTCGTCACTTGAACTCTAAATAGAGTACCATCTGCACACATGCAGAGCTTATAGCGCACCCAGTCGCCATTGTTAAACTGTTCCCCGTAAGAAGAACTTGGCAGTCGAGATGTGCTGACCATAACAGTTCCATTCAGAATGATGCTGTTTTCCTAGTAAAAGAATAATTATGCAAATGTTCAAAAAGAGGTACAGTATTTCTTTTCTGAAGAATACATTTAACCAATAACTCTTTTCAAAACTACCTTAAAGATGTAAACAAAATAAGTTTTATTTAGTCTGTGAGCTATAACTTCACTAATTTTACCAATGATGTCATCATACACCTCAGTTCTGACCTGCAATGCATTTTACTCTTCCACTTGTAGGTCAATATTAAGCAAAAACTGCTAACTGTATAGCAGTCATATTTGCAGTGTTAAAGAATATTTACCGAGGATTAAAAACAAATATATTGAGTTTTACTTGTGAAACAATAAATAAGACTTTACTTCATGTTTCCAGACATGAAAGAAAAATGTTTATTTCCATGCTGTTTTCCCCTTTACCTATTCCCCACTCCAAGCAATCCACAGTGCTAACACAACCTCAAAAAATTATTTAGTACAAGTTAGCTCAAAGCTTTTGAAAGCCCTTTAAAAATTGGACTAATATATTTGCTTTTGTAGTATTTCCAAATAACAAACTTCAGTTGAACTACTATTAAACTATATTTTCATAAAACATAAGTTTCTGCAGATTGGATCCCTACAAGAAATGCAATAATTAATCTATCATCTTCAGTTTGAAAATAAGATAGTATAAACAATTGCCAACATAAAATACTTACTGCTTTTAATTCCATATCGCCTCCCATCCGAAACTCAATCATTTTGCCCATAATGAAAACTCCTTCATTTCCACGTACAATGGCACGTCCATCAACCTTTATATTTAGATCACTGGTAGCATTGCTGGTAATCTGAAAGAGTGGAAAAAAAGTAAAGGTGGGTACAGTGTGAAAAGTTCCATTTATGTGAGTCTAAATAGTTCTGTTAAATTGTTTAACTAAGAGATATCAAAACTGCTAAAAATTTTCATAAAGTATTAATGCATGTTGTATATCATTATCTTTAAATCTCCAAAGGCTTCTCATTTAGTTATATTTAGAAACAAGGTTGTCGTTTTTTTTAAAAGGTCTGTTTTGACTAAAAAGCTTATCATTCTAGCCTGTCAGATGGATTATACTTGCAGATTACTGATATCCTTGTTATATTCAAAC